GTATGTATGTATGTATGAGAGAGACAGACAGACATATGGATTAATAGATAGGTAGAATTTATACCAAAAACCCCAAGGCCCTGCCCGTTAGTACAGACGCAAACTTAACCTTAACCTCAGCCCCCNNCCCCCCCCCCCCCCCCCCATACTCTCAAACCCTGCTGGCCCGCATTTTGGGGATTCCAGCCGTACTGCATTGCATGGGTAGCTGGGCTCTACAGAGGACGGTTCAGGGTAGGGTTTACGGTTCGGGGCGACAGAATAAACAGCGACTTTTGGCAACTCTAAGGCCATGATGCCCCTGTCTTGAGAGCTTCTGAGCCCAACCCTTAAACCCTCGACTTTCATATGGCCCGTAACCCTAAACTTGAAGCCATCCTAAATCCCAGATTCCTAGATCCTGGAGCCCAAACCCTCGAAAACGCTATGCAACTGCAACTAGGAGTCCTAAATCCTTGATCCTAAACCCCAAAAAAACACCCATAAGCAAAATTGCCAGGGAAGACGGCGGCTGCTTTTCTTAGCGAAATCCAGAGGCCGATGATCGCNNTTGGGGTTCAGGGTTTAGGGTTGCAGTAGCAGTGTCGTTGGCGGCTCTCTCGAGTTTTAGGGGCTTTGGGCTTCATGAGCTTTCATGTGGCTTTGCTGGACTGCTTGTTGTAAGAAACATATAGGAACTGTTTTGGATTTATCAGGTTGTTGTCGGTCGAGTTGCGTGTTCATAGGTTTAGAACGCTCGGAGGAGTTTGCGTTTGTTAACATTTAGCTCTACCTAAAGGCGTTTAAAGGCGGGTACGCCCTGCGCCCGTTTTTACAGTACCTAGTTTTATGATTAGATTCTTTTATATAGACAAGCAGATATCCCGAATAAGGCTAGGGTATGAGCCTCTAGGTAGGGTCCATAATGGTTCTGCAGTTCCGGCTTACCGCCTCTAGGTCTGAAGGTTTCATTGCTGTAGGATTCATTAGGGTTGAGGGTGGGGGGGGGGNNNNCTTGGAGGTTCATGAGACTTAGTAAGTAAGGGTTACAAGTACCATAACTGAGGTTACAAGTGATTAGAAGTATACCCTAAGCCCCTAAACTCTAAACCCTGAACCCTATAAACCGTAGTTATCTTATTTGCACTCGCTCTGCCGTCAAGCTCAAGCTCCACGTGGTCTACCTCCAAGAAGCATCCAGGCTTGCCAGTACCCACAGCAGCCAACGTTGAGAGTTCAAGATTTACCTGAACTTTAAAAAGCACTACCTTGTTGGGGTTCCTGATTATGCTTTCCCTGTGCAAGGCCTCGAAAGTAGGTAGTGATTTTGGCCACATTTTGGCACGTGAGATATTGCTGCACGGCCCTTGACCGACCACGAGCTGCCATGCTCCGGCTACATGTGGACTGGAACTTGTTGCAAGTGGGCTTTTGCACTTCATGGCTGTGCCTAAGTGCCCTATTTTGCTTCACCTCATGGATCGAATTCTCGTTTTTGGGGATGCTTGGAGGGCTGGCGAGTTTCATGCTTGGTTCGGGATGCCTGGCCTATGCATGGTCCAAACCTCATTCATTGTCTACGCCTGTCTTCAGCTCCATGCCGATAGGCGTGCCTGTGGAGACGACGGCCGGCAGTTGTGACAGGGTTTGGGCACCATGTACTTTCTCAGCATTGAAGAGAACAAGTCCAAAGTTTCTCGTCTTCACCTGCCGCCACAAAGCTCCCGCAGAGCTTTCGGCATGCCCCGTCGCCTCTCAGAACTCGATCCGAGCAGCTTGGGTACAGCCAGACGACACATGTTGTTGCTGTTTGGCTGCCTTCGAAGAAGAAAGTACAGTTGCCGTTCTTCCATGCGGACATGTCTTTCACGAGGACTGTATCGTGGCATGGTCTCTGACGCCTTCACGTAGCTCTGGCTCTTGCCCAGTATGTCGCAGTCCCTTTGGGCCAAGGCCGGAGAATTCTTTCGACGGCGTGGTGGTGCCCAGTGCGCCTTAATTCCAATTGGCCAGAATCGTTTAGTTCCTTCACATGTCCAGATCTTCCAGCACAGCCCAATGAAAGAATAATCAAGCGCAAAGGTTAGACATAGGGCTGCAGACATTTGTAGTAGGCAAGTAAGTAGAACCACCCGTACTCCGAAGTTACAAGGCATACTGGAAGATCTTGCTACTTGCTCGGCTCGTCTCAGACTTCTCGTGGCCAGATGAACTTGATCCGCCAAAGCCCGAGAGCCCCCCCGCAAGACTTCGCAACAAAACCAGCCGCTTGTTTTGGCTACCAGGTTACCACAACTAGGGGATTCCAAAGACAGTCTTTATTTGGGGCTTAAAGTCGATATTTTTTGAAGACCTTGCAGAAAAGCTGGTTGTGGTAGTGCATGTTCATGAGATCGTTGGATGGTCCGGTCCCGGGCCGTCTGAGCCCAAGGTTTGAGAATCACTACCTTGGGACATTCACCTAGTTCCCAAGTAGAATGAATCCTTCTTGTCCTTCGTTGTTTGGGGCTCCCGTTTAAATGAAAGCTGAAGAGTAGGAACAAGCAAATCATTTGTTCAGGGGTCTACTTGGGAACTAGGTTCCTGACCGAGTGCTGAGAAGCTCCTTCGTATTTTCCATTTTGACGCAGAAATCAGGTGTCCGGCACCGTAACAGTTGAGCTCACTGCTGGATGCAGATCTAGGGAACCTTTTTGGTTTCAGGGCTTGGCAGGTGAGACTGCATTTCTCAGCTAAGCCTATACAAGGCCCAATGCAGGAACCTGATTAAGAAATCCTGCTCCCCCAAAAACATCAGGATCCATATGGAACCTTCAGGAAGACACAAGGTTTCCGAGGCAGGTTCCTATCTTCGGTCTTGCAGGATTGACTGGGTTGCTGTTAAGGAACTTACATTAAGTTACTATAATAAGGAAACCGCTTTACTGTACATATCCATTATGAGTTATGTTCCTTAACAGCAGCCCAGTTGAGATCGTTTCATGCGCATGCCATCGCATGCCCTCGCCGCCGTTCTGGGTGTACGGGACGGGCTACACTTGTGCGATGTTTAGGGGTTTAATTAGGTACAGCATATAGGGTGTATGTGCCACCACATGGTAGCTGTAGCACCGGAAGCTCGCGCGATGATCTTCCATTGCCGTATAAGGGTCCGAGCACCTTGACAGGGCATCTACGTGCAGCCGAGCCTGCGCCCCTAAAAGCCTAAAGCTGTAATGACAATAGCAGGAAGCCTCAGCGCAAAATCTAGAACTTTTTCCAGGGCCAGCCAGGTATTTGCGACAGGCGCTCGGATCGCTACTTAGCGTTGCTTGAGCTTCAGTGGTCTGGCACATGCAGCACGCACAGTGCTGCCTAGGAGACCCTAAACCCTAAACCTCCGAGTTGTGAGAGCGAAAATCCTTCAAAAACCCAAACCCTAAATCTAAACCTCTGGCTTCCTTCTGACCTTCGGCTATACGTGCAGAGATCCCAAAAATCATCGAAGACCGGGAACCTCCAGAGCCCTCAGACTGTTGAGACTGGTGGGTACTTTCAGAAGAACTTCCGTCAAGCCACCATCATAAGGAGAGCACATTGAGTACCGGGTATTCTGCCACTTTGTGGCTATTCAAGATTACGTACTTCGGCAAGAATCCAGATGATTCCTGGGACAAGTCCAGCCAGTCTGGCAGTACACGGTTTAGGGCTTGGGCTGAGTGAGGATTTAGCTCTTAGGGCCGTCAGAGTTTAGGGTTTTATCCTCCCTAAACCCTAAAACCCTAAAACCCTAAACCCTAAACCCTAAACCCTTAAACCCTAAACCCTAAACCGTAGCTTGCGCCCTACATGCCCTGAGGACCCCAGACCCGAATTTCTGAATGCCCCCCCCCCCCGAACTTAAGAAACCCGGCATGTACCCAGAGAACCCAATACCCCTTAATTAAGGAATATACCTTATATCATATTATTAAGGCCCCTATAATATATAAGGAATATCCCTTAAATCATAATATTAAGGCCCCTATAATTTAAGGTATATTCCTTAAGTAAGGGGTATTGGGCTCTCTGGGCAGGGTGCAGGCTCGAGCATGGCCCAACCTGTGCCACTTTGGCTTGGGATGTCCAGAACCTGGCTCTTGTCCTGAGCCCGCCCTAGATTCGCTTATTTTGGTGGTAGTGAAGCCGCAAAAACTATAAGACAGACTTCATAGAAGCCCCGAGCCCTATATCCCCAAAAGATCCCCTCTAGAATCCTTACAGAGAAGCCTTGATTGCAAGAGACCCCCCAAAACCTGACGCAGTCGAGCTTTTAGGGCGAAGAGATGAGCATCCAGAGTTAGTTAGGATGGGGTTGAAGGTTTCGGGTTTAGGGTTTGGGGTTTAGGGTTTAGGGTTTACTAGGGTTTTGGGTCTATCTTTTCACCCTAAGGGTCGGAGTCCAAGTGCCTAATAATCTTATACTCGCCCAACTACAAACCGAAATAGCTGTTCTCCGGTAACCAGAGTACCTCATTCTTGGGTCCTTTGGACCCTTAGGTCCAGGAAAGCCTGGAAACTCCGGAGTTCCCCCTTTTCACTCCAGAAACCCGCTGCGCCTAAACTGTTTAGAGTTTAGGGTAGGGTTTAGGCTTAGGGTTTAGGGCTTAGGGCTTAGGGTAGGGTTTAGAGTTTAGGGTTTAGGGTAAATCAAAACACCCCCCCCTCCACCCATCGAAACCCCGTTCAGAGAAGAAGTAGTTACTCGCCCTCAAGCCTTAAACCTTGCACAAGAAAACCACTAAAACCTTGAAGCCCCAAACCCTACAACCTGAACCCTCAACTCCAAAACCTTGAACCCGAACTCCAAACTCTAAACCCTTAAGGCCTATTAAAACCCTTAAACCCTAAGGTCCTGTGCTTGGACCCGACATTCTAAACCCTAAACCCTAAACCCTTTAGCCATGCGAGAGGGAAAAAACCCTAAGCCCCTAAACCCTAAACCCCTAAACCCCTAAACCCCTAAGCCCCTAAACCCCTTAGCCCCTAAACCCGTAGCCCTCCCTTGGAGGCTTTTGGGCTCCCCCTTCGATGCGGCGGCCTTCGACCTCGAACCTGCGCTGAAATTCTATGAGCTATGGGTTTAGGGTTTAGGTTTTAGGGCTTTTAGGGTTTTAGGGCTTTAGGGCTTTTAGGGTTTTAGGGCTTTAGGGCTTTTAGGGTTTTAGGGCTTTTAGGGTTTCAGGATTTTAGGGTTCAGGGTTTAGGGTTTATAGGGTTTTAGGGTTCAGGGTTTGGGGTTTAGGGCATAGGGTGTTCCAAGGAGGGGTCCTAAGGTAGAGCTTCGAGGGTTTTGGGTTTTGGGGGTTTCCTGTAAAGAGGTAATATAGGTGCTTTAATAATTTGTTTTTGGGCGTCCTTATTATGAATATAGTAAGACCTAAAGCCCTAAAGCCCCCAAAAGCCCAAAGACCTAAACCACAAAGCCCACCCTAGAGCCCCTAAACCCTAAAGCCCTTCACCCTAAAAACCCTCCTTTAGAACTTTAGGGGTTCTATCACCCGGAGGGCCTTCAGAGTCGAACGAGACCCGGAGAGGTTTAATTAAAGGGGTGAAGCGCTTTAGGGTTTAGGGCTTAGGGCTTAGGGCTTTTAGGATTTAGGTTTGGGGTTTAGGGGTTTAGGGTTTATAGGGTTTATAGGGTTTGGATTAAGTTCTGGAGGTTGGAGGGTCAGTGTTATGGGGTTAGGGTGGAGATCAAGCCCCCGAAAGAAGTTTGACTCCCAAGCCAGCCCCAGTCCTCAGCCGTATGCTTTGAGTACCACACGTATGTTCAAACAACTATCAGATTATGACCTTGGGAAATAAAACCCTAAACCCCTAAACCCCTAAACCCTAAACCGGTACAGTTAGTTTTCTTTGTGTTACTGGACGACGGACATCCGCTTTAGGGTTTAGGGCTTAGGGTTTAGGGTTTAGGGATTCTTGTTTGGGGTGTGTCCCTGTTGAAAGGTACGTCGGTGAATCTAGGTCAATGACCCCATTGAGCGCTAGACCCTACTAACTTCCATCATAAACCCTAGACCTGCTCATTGAACATGCAGAACTGCACAAAACCCGGTGCAACCACACGCCCCACTAAAAAAAAGCCGGGTGAAGTGGTCAATCGGCCAACTGAGTAGGGAGGTGGAAGTGCACAGGCTTGGGGCTCAGAGTGATTGTGCAGCCAAAGATACCTTATACCCTTAAACCCTTAACTAGACCCTAAACCCCTAACCCCTAAACCCTAAACCCTAAGCTGCTTGCCCCAAGGATGATCATGAGGATGACCCTCGTGAGGCGGCAAGAACTCCGACTCTTTCAGCTTCCCTTGTATGGCGGTTTTCCAGCGGATGTGGGGCTTACAGGGTTTTGGGTTTTGGGTTTAGGGTTGTGGGGCTTATAGGGTTTACCCATAAATAGGCCCCTATGTAGTTCTTTGTTGTGGTTTATATCTAGAATCCTACAAAGGTAATCCCAAAAAGGACCTACTAAGGGGCCTATGGTTAACCATATAAGGTAAACCACAAAAAGGAACTACTAAGGGGCCTATGGTTACAGAGGTCTTGCGGGTTTTAGGGCAAAGGGTTTAGGGCTTCTTCGGGGTGGTTAGATCGGGCTTTGAGGCTCCGTCCCGACGCTTTAAGGGAAAGCCAGAGCCAAGAGCTTTCTTGGACTTCTGAGTTTTCCCTAAAACTATGAAAGCTCATGTTTTTTTTGTAGGGCTTCTGGAAGTTCATCTATAGGAGCTAAGCCTGCACGAAAGTAGGTCGTAACAGTTTTTCCGGCCCGTAGTTATGCAAAACTTTCTGGTAGGGAGTTTGGGGTATAGAATATGATCGTCCTACGTCTGTAATCTTGGGGGGGGGGGGGCGGAGGCAGTTTGAGTTAGGCTATGTCCAGGTTTCGACATCACACCCTATACAAGCCATGCAACCCTGCAGACCACTCGAGACCAGCCCCCCGTATCCAGATGCATACTGCAGGGCCTTGCTATAGGCGCTGCGGTAGTTAGAACAGAGTTCTAAAGCATAGAATATTACAGTTACAGCAATGAGGCAAAGCAGGGCATTGCTGAATATTAACGCTTCTGTATTACACACCGGAATTGTCAGATTTTCTTGATACCCTGTTTGTCCTTCCCTGCTTGCAGCATGTCGATTACTGTGGAAGTCCGATTGCTGAGTGGCAAGACGGCTGCAGTGCAAGTGGGCTTGGAGGAAGCCGTGGCGACATTGAAGCATCGAGCACAGACCGAGCTTGGAGTCGGAAAAGGACGGCTCCTAGACTCTTCCGGGAGCATTCTGGATGCATGTGTACTGGTCAAGCATGCTGGGCTGAAGACTGGTGACTCGTTGACGTTGCACGTAAGCAGAGTTCACATTCACTGCACTGCCAAAGCTTTTGCTGCCATTCTCAGTGATGGATCTGTCGTGACCTGGGGTGCTCCTCGCTTTGGTGGTGACAGCAGTGGTGTGCAGGATCAGATGGGCAATGTGCGGCAGATCCAAGCCACGCTCCGTGCTTTTGCTGCAGTTCTTGGTGACGGATCCGTCTTAACCTGGGGTGATGCTGAATTTGGTGGTGACAGCCGTGCTGTGCAGGATCAGCTGAAGAATGTGCAGCAGATCCAAAGCGCTCACCGATCCTTTGCTGCCATTCTTGGCGATGGGTCGGTCGTGACCTGGGGTGCTGCTCTCTATGGTGGCGACAGCAGTGCTGTACAGCATCAGCTGAGGAGTGTGCAGCAGATCCAAGCCTCGTCCCGTGCTTTTGCTGCCATTCTTGGTGACGGATCCGTTGTGACTTGGGGTCCATTCTGCTGACGGCAGTGACAGCAGTGCTGTGCAGCATCAGCTGTGGAATGTGCAGCAGATCCAAGCGAATCGCCGAGCTTTTGCTGCCATTCTTGGCGACGGATCCGTCGTGACCTGGGGCGATGCAATCTCTGGTGGTAACATTGCTTCGCCAGGTAGTGGTGTGGACCAGCTAAAGAATGTGCAGCAGATCCAAGCACTTCCAGGCGCTTTCGCTGCCGTCCTTGCTGACGGATCTGCCGTGGCGTGGGGTGGGCTGCACGGCGCTTACGACAGCGGTAATGTGCAGGATCAGCTAAAGAATGTGAAGCAGATCCAAGCCAGTCCCTGCGCTTTCGCTGCCATTCTTGGCGATGGGTCGGTCGTGACTTGGGGTTTAGCTGAGGATGGTGGTGACAGCAGTGCTGTGCAGGATCAGCTGAAGAACGTGCAGCAGATCCAAGCCACCCGCCGTGCTTTTGCTGCCCTTCTCGGCGATGGATCTGTCGTAACCTGGGGTTTCGTTGGCGCTGGTGGTTGCAGCAGAGCAGTGCAGCATCAGCTCAAGACTGTGCAGCAGATCCAAGCTAATGCCAGTGCTTTTGCCGCCATTCTTGGTGATGGATCTGTCGTCACTTGGGGTGCTGCTGGCGCTGGTGGTGACAGCAGAGCAGTGCAGGATCAGCTGAAGGACGTGCAGCATGTCCAAGCCACTGAAGATGCGTTTGCTGCCGCTCTCGGCGATGGATCTGTCGTGGCCTGGGGTGATGCTGGAGCTGGTGGCGCCAGCGGTGCTGTGCATGAACAGCTGAGGAGTGTGTAGCACTGCCAGCCTCTTCCTACACAGGGTTCGCCCCCCCCACCACCACCTCCAAGGCCTCGTTACAGTTGGGAGCGAGGGGGCACTGGGAGGGTCGGGGGACTTCGTAACTTCGTTCTCCAAGACCAAACCTTTAAACTTTCTGGGCTCTTAAGACTTTCGTCGTACTCTGCAAGGGTTAACCTTTCACTTCTGTGGTTTTTTGGGGAAGTAAGGTAATTGGCGAATGAATATATAGTCTTATATGTACCCTAAAAGGGTGTCCTAATTGGGGTTAAGAGTTATGATACTTAGATATGATACTTAGAAGTCTTGCAATATCTACTTACTAAGTGCCCCGACCCTCCTTTTAAGTGGGGCTTAAGGTTCCCAATACGATTCTCTACTTGGAGGTTCATGGGACTTAGAAAGTACAGTTACAAGTACTTTAACTGGGGTTATAACTAATTATAAGCATGGTTACTTTCCTTATAACAATAGTTGCCAAGTCCCATGAACCTTTAACTAGGGCACTTGGTTGTAAAGAGAAAACTTTCGAGGAATTCAGACTGAAAGAAGTAGACAGAAGTGACAAGTCCGGTATGCTGGGGCTCTTGGGGAAACCCGCGAAAGACAGCCTCAAATGCCAACAGTAGTATAGGAATGTGCAGGCTTTAATAATTCGAAGAGGGTTTGGGGCTTGTTTACGATACTCCCAAAGCAGAATCCGGTAATGTTCGTACTGAAGAGTTTTCTAGACTGCATTCTCACGGATGTAGGGTTTTGGTTTTGGGGTTTAGGGTGGGAAGCAAGGGCTTATAGAACCCTCAAAATAGAACTCGTTTCAGACCCTGATAAAACCCTGTATGCGACCGGATAAAAGCCACATCAAGCGTGACCGGCTAAAACAATGGAGCAACCGCAATAACAGGTCAGCAGACCCTATAAGGGAATGGTGGTATTTAGGGTTTAGGGTTTAGTGTTCCTAAACCCTAAACCCT